AGCTTATTGCGTACTAGCACTAATGAGGTAAGATGGTATTTCTAAACACCACCATGGTATTGACTGGAAAGGTCTACACTGTAAAATACATTCCTATTCGGCGTGATTCAGAGAAACATTTCTGCATTATTCATAACACTCAAAATATGGGTTGCATAACATGTACGCTATCATAAGTTTTATATTGTCTCAGTAGAACATACATGACATGAAAACCTATCTGGCAGTCGCGACAGATATGGTCACACCATTAATACTACAAGACTTAGTAGTGGATGAATCCTCTTCATTGCCTACCATTAGATTAAAATACGCTGGGTGTTTAGGCACATGCAGGATCATAGTCTTGCTGCTTAGCATTGCAGTAACATCCAACATGTTCGGTCGATCCACAGCATTCTCTTGTACGCATAGTAGTGCGATATTAATGGACCTCATCAATTCTGTTGGTTCACACATGGGAAGCAATGACGCATCAACAATATTTGCCCATCTCCCATCTTGCCATAACTGCCAAGCCTATTTGCAGTTTCATCACATGCTTAGGTACGACAATAAGTTATAGACAATTTATTTTCATGTCGAATGTGTATGAACTCACATATCCGAAGAGATTGATGAACGCTCCACAATGACGGGTACCATAATTCCTTTTCCCGCTAAGGATCTCAAGAATTAAAACACCAAAGCTGAATACATCAGATTTGATTGAGAATATACCCTCAGAAGCATACTCCGGAGCCATGTAACCACTAAAAAGATGTATAATATATGTCCAATCAATATATTGATGACTTGTAAGGAATAAATGTTCATATGTCGTATATAATTTACATGGAACTTACTATGTACCAACCACTGTCCTTGTAGTGCGCCGTCTGTATTATTTGAGCAAAATATTTTTGCCAGTCCAAAATCTGAAATTTTGGGGTTCATCTCATTGTCCAAGAGAATGTTGCTTGGTTTTAGATCTCGATGTATGACACGCAAACGAGAATGTTTATGAAGATAAAGAAGTCTGTGTGCTGTTCCTTCTATTATTATAAGGCGTTTGTTCCAGTCCAGTAGAGATTTTCTGTGTTCATCTGCCATGAACTAATTTTATTATAGAAGAAAAAATAAACATCTAAATAATAAGAGTTGGACACTTCAATTATTACCTTAGTGCAATTATGCACATAGGATTTTCGAAAATGAAATAATTAAATATATGAATGTTGAGCTGGTGATGTGTACCAAATATGAAGAAGTCCAAGCTTTTGTTTGGCAAGTATTCATACGCCAATATTTTTTCCTCTCCTTGTGAGCAACATCCCAAGAGTCTAACCAGATTCCTGTGTTGAAGTTTGGCTATGAGTTCTACTTCAGTTTTGAACTCCATGACACCTTGACCTGAATGTGATGCAAGTTGCTTCACTGCTATCTCCGTTCCATTAAGAAACTAGCCCTAGAAAAAAAAGCCATAATCCGGTTGCTTTATGATCCACAATGCAATTCACCACTACCAAGTAATTAGCACAAGAAAAATCTCTTTCAATCAATACTTTCCTCCTTATGATTATGTATGATGAGGCTATGTTTGGTTAACTATTGTTAGATTTGTTTTAAAAATTTATGAAATTTGAGACATATCTGATACTTCTCTGTTGATTACAAAATGAGGAGTTTACAAGAGTATGGTATATATATGTACCTTATATACAGGTCCAAATCCACCTTCTCCAAGTTTATTTTCTTCAGAGAAGTTATTTGTAGCTTCCACTATCTGATGAAAGTCGAAAACTGAAAACACGGATAATCCTGCCTCCATATCCCAGACTAGTTCTTGAACACCACCTTGCAACTTGTAAGTATGCTGTTCTCGTAATATTGTTGTACCTGAAAATTTGATGAGAATTAGCGCAACAGATCAATCTCCTTAATTAGAACTCTGTGTTTTTAGTGCGGTACATAATAGCATTGAAGGAACTAATTTACCTACCTTTTCTGATCCTTCCTTTCAGGCAGCAACAGTAAACGATGAAGCAGAAAGTAACTAGAGCTACCGGACCAGCTACAGACATAGCAATTACCCAAGGATGCATTCCACGTCCTTCTAAATTAAACATCCACGAATTATCATGAGTTGTTAGCTAAAAATATGCCAACTAATCAAGAGTCCACCCACAGACTATTGGGGATGTATGGATGTAGATAGAAACATAATAATTACTCTTACCCGTGGGAGG